ACAGCTCCAGTTTCATAAAAAATAAATGAGACTTCATGAAAATACAACAACTTCAATGGGAATTCAATTAGAGTTGCAACAAATAAAATTCATACACTAATTTAAAAATTGCAATGAAAATGAAGCAATTAGATGCATTAATATATTCGAAATAGTAACTGATTAAAGTAAGAGACTAAGTTAGAAAAAAAACCTGGTTGGCGAATTTAGGTCTTGACCATTTAAAATACTAGCCTCCCTTTCACTTTGACGAGGTTGACTTGAAGACGAAATCGGGATTGAGCCCAATTTGAAAATGTAAGGGAGAATAGGAGTCTACGATTCGAAGAAATTCATGTACAATAGGATTAAAAGGAGACTTTGCAAACTAATTAAGAAAATTAACTGATGCAACACCAGTAACCTAATATTAACTTGTAAAGATGGATTAAACTTTGAGCAAATTTTCAAAACTGAAATAATGATCCAAGAGCTAATCCCAGAAAATGAGAAATAATCAAACTTGAATTATCCTAAACCAAGCATGTTTAAAGAAAGACTAAGCTAAGGTAAATCTGAAATTGATTCAATAACTAATGAACATTATCGTAAGTTTAACACCTTCTTAGCAAACCAACAACAACAACATATCCAGTGAAATCCCACTAAGTGGGGTTTGAAGAGGGAGGGTAAAGTGTACGCAGACTAATACCACTACCTCATGAAGATAGAGAGGTCGTTTCCGAAAGACCATCGGTTCAAGTATATCAAACTCAAGTAGAGGAAAAAGAAAACAATGAAGAAAACCTATCATTAATAAGAAACAAAAGAACTCAAAATAAATAAAGGTTATATACCTTAACAGTAGCAAACAAAGGAACAAAGATTTCAATTTTCACAACAATTGATTGACACTTAATCAACCCTTTAACAAGGTAAAGTTAGAACAAAGTGATGACTTCAAGCAAGCTGGTGGTCAGGCATATTCAAATAGAGGACAGTAGGAGGAAACATTAAGGCCATAATCTCCAAGTATTCATACAACTATAGCCCTTTTAGCGGAAACATATCATAGTTACACCTCGATTAAAACCTTAGACTGTGACAAACATTTAAAAGGAAAGAGAACTTGATTTAAGACAAACCATACTATTTAATCATAGTTCAAGCCTTAGTTAATCAATCACTGGATAGGATAAAACAAACTATTTGTTGGAAATCGGCAAGGAATCATTTAAACGAGAAAAACAAAGGTAAAACTGATGACAGTAGATCAAACCAGCACACATTCAGGACTCTTTATAAATTTCTAACTCCAACAGATTTCAAAACGAGTAATAAGTAGTCAAATGCAAACAGAATGGTGAGAACACAAAACATTATTTAAAGGGACTGGCTAAAACAGTAGCAAATGAGAATTCATAGCAATAGAAAAAAATTATAAATCTATACCCAAAACGATAGGTAGCCGGACAAAGTTTAAAGCTACTATACTAGCATATTAGAATACTCACAAGATAGATGACTAAGACGACACTCGCAAAAGAGAAAATAGTGTCTTTAAAAATCTTGGCATCAAAATTATATACAGTAAGGGAGATCTGACGATAGACAAGCACGTCTCAATTTTTCAACATTTTATTAATATGTACAGGTAATTGACACATATGTTAAAAACATGCTGAATGACACAGGTAAGTATTCTATCACTAGACACAATCCAAGAGGAAACAAAACTTATCATACAGATAAAAACATGCAGAGATAGGCCACTGTATGGAAACAAATATGCTATTAAAATATATCCTGATGAACAACTACCTAAAGACACCTAAGTGACGGAGCCATTAGAAGGAAGGGAAACAATCAAAAACAGCACAGATTATCATTTGTATATGCATTTCTTTTAGCAAGTAAGCAAAGCAATTAAAGAGGAGCTGATAAAATATATCACTAATTTACTCTTAATGCACAGCTGGCCAGATTACTTAGATGAACAACTACTTTCTAGCCTTAGATTCAACATCTCGAGATCACATCCAGATTTTTTTCGAAGTAAGCTAGCAAGATAGAATGAATGAGTGGATAAACCAAAGCATAGACAAGTATAAGATTTAAAACAGCCATGAACTCAAGACAAACTTCAATCTGAAATCTAAACTTAAACTGGAATAAAATTATATTTTTTAGGAATTACATAATTGTGAACCTTAAATAAATTGAAATAGATTCTCATCAAAACAAACAACTTTTGATTATGAGTCAAGTAAACATCAAACTTCCACCTAAAAGAGATATTTTTAGATATTAGAACAGAAGAGGAAAAGAGTTGTAACAAAGGATAAAGCAGGTGCTATTGTGCAGCAGTGAAGCATTTTATCAATGAGAAACGCTAAATACTTACAAAAATCTCTAAGCATACATGAAGCTAAATTGATTAAGGATTAATATTAACAATTCTACCTAAGATTACAAGCATAAAGGCTTAAACATCATAAACAATGAATACAAAGAAATATCGAATATGAATTGAAAACTAGACAGTCAAAGCAAAATCTAGAAATTTTTTTTTGCTAATACACAAATTCAACGTATAGCAAACTAAAAATTGAGATAATAATACCCTTTTAGAATCAGCTTTCTGGGACCTGGCCACTACGATCACAAACTGAATAAACATGTCTTGCCCCACACAAAGTCACGAACATTTAAATAAACATGTTTTACACTCCTTGTGTCATCCTTATAATTATCCTCTGCATTTTCCCCATCAAAACAATAAATCGAAGACATACCCTCCACCACGAGCAACTCAAACAGCCAAAAGGGAACTTGAAACAGACTAAACGAGATAAGTTTTCTCCAAAACTAAGAATTCCCAATTTCAATGGCTGATGTATATATAGGATCCATACCCATTATAGATAAACATAAGGAAAGTTGAAATGTAGGAAAGGTTGAAATGTTTGTTGCTTATTGTTAAAGTCAGCAAATGCTGCAACAAACCAAAGCTCACCATTTCTTTTTCAACTAAAATCTTACCAAGAAATCTGCATAGTTGCAAAGGTTGAAACTTTGGTGTTTTTTATATTGTCATGAGTGACATCATTAGGAGTAGATTTCTCGTATAAATAGAGAGCCCTTGCTCATTTCAAACACACCAAGTTAGAGAGAAAAAAAGGATATTTGAGAGCAAAGTGAGGTATTCCATAGACTATATAAGAAAAATAGTATGTGAAGAAAACTAGAATGTGAGCGATATTTTAGTAAGGTGAAAATCAAAAGAGTGTTATTCCTTTTGAGTATGTAGTAGTCACTTTGAGTATTGTATTCGTGACTATACAGTGTAAAATTCTTTACTATAGTGATATCAGTTGTTCCTCTTGGCCTGTGGCTTTTCCCTTATTTAAAAGGGTTTCCACGTTAAAATTCTTGTTGTCATTATTTTCCCATTTTATTTCTATTAATTTGACCATATATATTTTTGTCTTAGTCCGCATTTTCCCAACAAACTGGTATTAGAGTCAAGGTTTTATCTGAGTATCTGTGGTTGCAGCACAGTCTGAACTTCCACATCAGAAAATATCTACTTTGGTTTGCAATAACTATATTTTTGGGGGATAAACAATGGAAGCTAACACAAGTAGAATAGTTACTTTGAATGGTGTTAATTATGACATTTGGAAGGGGAAATTTCTGCTTCATGTCAAGAATTTTTACAAACCAATGTTTACCACTGTAAAACCTGATAATAAAACAGATGAAGAGTGAAATATGTTGCACATGCAGGTTTGTGGATTCATTAGGCAATGGGTTGACGATAATGTGTTGAACCATATTTCTGGGAAGACACATGCTCGAACTCTATAAGAGCATGTTGAAAGTTTGTATGCTTGGAAGATTGGCAACAACAAAATATTTTTAATAAAGCAGATGTTGAGTTTAAAGTATCATGATGGTTCTCCGATGACAGACCATCTGAATAATTTTCAGGGAATCATGAATCAATTATCTACTACAGGCATCAAATTTGATGAAGAAATTCAAGGTTTGCTTCTACTTGGTTCCCTACCAGACTCTTGGGAAACGTTTAGAACTAAATTGTCAAATTCTCCTCCGAATGGTGTGATCTCTATGGATTCCACCAAGAGTAGTGTCTTGAACGAAGAAATGAGAAGAAAACCTCAAGGTTCTTCTTCGTCAGATGTCCTGATAATTGGCTCCAGGGGGAGAAACAAAACTCGTGGTTCTCAAAATAGGGAACAAAATAGGAGCAAATCCAGAGGAAGACTTAAGGATATTGAGTGCTATCATTGTGGCATGAAAGGGCACACAAAGAAGTTTTGCAGGAAATTGAAGAGGGAGAACATAAACAAAGAGGAAACTAAAGAAGATGACAGTGAAAATTGCCTAGCCACTGTCACCACCAAAGATCTTGTTATCGTCTTTGATGCGGATATGATAAATATTGCTTGTGATGGGTCAAGTTGGGTTGTGGACACTGATGCCGCATTTCACGTGACATCAAGGAAGGATTTTTTCTCTTCCTATACTCTTGGTGATTTTGAACCTTGAGTATGGGTAATGAGACTCTTTTTAAGGTGGATGGTATTGGTACAATTTGTTTGGAAACTAGTGTTGAAACTAAACTAGTTTTGAACAATGTGAAACATGCTCTTGATGTTCGTCTGCACCTGATTTTGAATGATGAAGGATATGTTAGTACCAACGGTGATGGAAAATGAAAACTTATTGTCATGACCCGAGAGCACCCCCAAGTCGTAACATGCGTACTCGACCTCTTGGAGGTCTAATACTAGCCCTTAGCAATCAATCATTGCATTCGGTAATAAAAACCGTAAGGAATAAAAACACTTTTTATTACAAAATCTTTCAAATGTAAAGAAGTAGAATTTCTAAGTCTCATGTACCATCTTATACACAGTGGAAATACTAGAAAGGGTTCAACTATGTCCTCGAATATATGAGGACATACCAAACTTCTTGAGAAATAGTCAATATCCCAAGCTTCCTCAAAAAATCTCTTCACTTTCCACCACCTACACTTGTAACAATAGAGAAATATGGAATTAGTACAATAAGTACTAAGTATGACGACCATGCAAGAAAACATGCACAACGGACATTTACAAGGAATGTATGCTTTTAAGACCTTTAACAAACCTTTACAACCACAAGCATAAACCCACATTTCAAGTCACCATTCACAAATAAGACCATATTCACATCATTTACAACCCAATTAACACAAGTGTACCATACTTAATCAAGGTAGCAAAGTAAGTCCTTCATTACCATTTAAGCCTCTATCTCAAGTCACCCTAAGCCACACTTAAGTGAATAATGAAGTGACCGCCCATGAAACCTCTTCATATACACCTAAGTGTTCCTAAGAGTTACCATAGACAAGGGTTTTATCATTACATTATAACATACTGAGTCAACATTCTTTATAAAACCATTTAAGAGACACACACAAGCATATATGGGACAATCACATAATAGCCCTAAGGCTTAGGGAACTCACTTTAGCATCTTCTAAGCCTACTCGTGCCATGTGTAAATAGCATCCCATACTACTACCTACACGTTGTAGAACCTATTCCCATATGATGGAAATAGGTCTTAACCGACATAGACCACACTAGCAAGGTATGGAATCCGGAGTCTATCCTACTCCGTGGAGGTTGTTCTACTTGCCAAGGGTTAAACTAAAAGATAGCTCATTTGACTTTCTTAGATAAGAGATGTCCAAGGATGTTCATTGTGCCTAATCTCATGCTCAACTAGGCCACCATCCTAACCACATCCACTCGGTGCTTAGCCTTGGTTTCCATAGAGTATTCAATCACATATGTACTAGAGAGGGTTCCTTTTCTAGTTCAACTAACTCATAGTACCTCTTCCCAAGAAAAGGTCCCCATTTCTAGTCATAGCCAATTTAGGTCATAAGGATAGCTCATTTGACTTTCTTAGATAAGGATTCTCATGCCGTTCCGGCTCCATCCATCTCTAAGTCTATTATTTCAGTCAAGATGGGAACATCACCCTAAAGCCCATCCTTCAAGGTTATACATTTACTTAGGAAAGCTAGACTCATGAAAAAGGCACTATGCTTAAGTCTACCATTCAAGTCTTGGCCTAGAATTCCTCTTTTAGCATTCATAGGAAGATCTCCATTACTAAGTCATAGCCCAACCAAACATTCATATATATAGTCAAGCTTTCATGACACAAGACAAGATACTCAAGTCTAGCGTATGAGCTACAACATCATCTTATAAAGACTCATCATAGTCCATCATCACCACATATCACCATTTCAAGAGAAACACGCTTTCACATTATAGCATAATAACACTTTTATACAATATCACATTAATACCATTAGAACATCTTCACATTATAGCTTCACACAAACTTTACATATAGCTTCATATAGGACTTTACATATAGCCTCATATATGTATAATAATATAATAATATAGTAACACTCATATAATGCCCTTCATGGCCTCAATTCACAATAATACAATATTCCAACATTATACAACAACTTCACCAATGCCTTCATGGCTACAATTCACAATAATACCACACAAGAATAAGATATAACACTTCCACCAAAGGTGGATTCAACCTACCAACAACAATCAATTCAATAAAGAGAGTTCAAGCTTTCTTACCATAATCCAAAGCCATAACCAAAATCACCAAAATCCAAAGCAATCACCAATACTTCACTCATAAGGCTTACCACCCTTAATTCACCAATTATCAACAATTAATCATGAATAAACATTAAACAACCCAAGAGATATCAATACAATTCACTTTACACATAATTCCATCAACTTTGAATTTATAGAAAAAGACGCACTTCATAGCAAATTTTAGGGTTTTGTAAAAGACAAGGGTTCATGGAGTATTTCATTCAAAAACCACAAACACATCAATTAATCCATACCCAAACGTTTCAAATCATTTTCATACAAGAGCCCTTGATAGAATTCAAAAACAAGCTTTTAGTCACTTTTTGAAAACATTGTAAAATCCTTTGAAATTGACTCTAGGATGAAGATGAGTCCTAGATGAAGAGACACCATACCTCACTTGAAGAAATCCCAACAAAATTTGGTGGAAGGAAACCCTCAATTTGAAACCCTAGCTCTCCACCTTCTTCTTCCTTGAACTTGAGAAAACTCTAGAGAGAGAAAGTCTTTGGGAGTTTTAACTTGAAGAATGAATTCAAAAATACCTTTTAAAATACCAAAAATAAGTTAAAACAACCGACCCCACACTTTAAAAGACTTGGGGTGAATTGGTACCATGGCCGACTTAAATGACAGCAACACAGGTGCCAAACCACGGCCACCATCTACGGACCGTGGATGGATTAACGGCCCCGTGTTGTGCATCCGTGGTTTGGTACTGTGGGGGAGCCAAATGGAGTTACGGAGGCCATCCACGAACCGTGGATGGACCTACGGGGCGTGAACCCCATCCGTAGGTCGAATCATTTCATTTGGGGCAGCCTTGGGGGTTGAACTTAGGTCCTCCTCAAGAACCCTTAGGGTGGTCCTTGGGGAGTCGTACCCGGACGTTTACCCCCTACACATGTCCAATTACACATTGGAACCACCTCCTTATGATTTCACCTTCAAAACGACACATCAATATCAATGACAACACACTAGAACACACTAGCACCAAAAGACTAGTTTCCGGACGTCTCTTGACGTTTGACCTCCAACACAATCAAACTGACCTCTAACACCATATTTAAGCATTTATACAAGATTACCAACTAAATACCAACACACGAGGCTCTAGTTTCGCGATTTCATTTTTAGGGTCGCTACACTTATTAAGGGTTCCTTGGTTGTGGTTCATGGCAACAAATGTCGTGGTCTATACTGGACTACAACTTCTACTTATGTTGATATGGTGAATGCGGTTGAGAGCGATAACTCTTCAACGTTATTGCACAAGAGGCTTAGCCACATCAGCGTGAAACGACTTAATGTTCCAGCCAAGAAGAAATTATTGTCAAATTTCCAAAGTGCAAAATTAGAAAAGTGTGAACTGTTTGGCTGGTAAACAAAATAGAGGTTCCTTCAAGTCTAATCTTCCTTCGAGAAAGACATAGTTGCTTGAGTTGGTGCACTCTGATTTATGAGGTCCAATGAAGAAAATGACATTTGGTGGTGCACACTACTTTGTCACTTTTATTGATGACTGCTCGAGAAAACTTTGGGTCTATGTCTTGAAGACTAAAGACCAAGTGTTAGGTGTCTTCAAGCAGTTTCAGGCTTTAGTTGAAAGAGAAACTGGAAAGGAAAGAAACTGAAATGTATTTGTACTGATAATGGTGGTGAATATTGTGTTAGGTGTCTTCAAGCAGTTTCAGGCTTCAGTTGAAAGAGAAACTGGAAAGGAAAGAAACTGAAATGTATTCGTATTGATAATGGTGGTGAATATTGTGGACCATTTGACGAATACTGCAAGCATCAAGGTATTAGACATAGAAGACTCCTCCTAAGACTCCTCAGCTTAATGTTTGGCTGAGAGGATGAACAGGACCTTGATGGAAAGAGTTAGATGTTTGCTTTCTGAAGCAAAGTTGCCGAAATCATTTTGGGGTAAGGCTTTATTGACCGCTGCACATGTTATTAATCTATCTCCTACTGTTGCTTTGCAAAGTGATGTTCCAAATAGAGTTTGGTATGGAAAGGATGTTTCCTATGATAATTTGAGAGTATTTGGTTGCAAAGCTTTTGTACATGTGCCGAAAGATGAGAGGTCAAAGTTAGATGCCAAGACAAGACGGTGCATCTTCATTGGATATGGCCTTGATGAATTTGGTTATAGGCTATATGATCCAATTGAGAAGAAACTCGTGAGAAGCCGTGATATTATTTTCATGGAGAATCAAACAATTGAAGATATTGACAAAACGAAGAAGCTAGAATCTTCAGGTTTTGATGGCATAATTCATCTTGATGAAGTTCCTCACACAAGTATGCATGATGTTGTTGGGCTTGATGATCATGGTGACGCCCATAATCATGCCTCGGATCAACACGTTGATGTTGACAATAACAATGATGTTATTGATGATCCTTCTGCTCATGAAGTTGTGGACGAATCAAATATCCCGCTTAGGAGGTCCACAAGACAACGAGTTTCTTCCTCTCGTTATTCACCCAATGAGTATGTGTTACTCACTGACGGGGGAGAACCTGAATGTTATGAGGAGGCCATGGAAGATGAGCACAAGGATCAATAGATTGAAGTCATGCAAGATGAGATGAAGTCTCTGCATGAGAACCACACTTATGAGTTGGTAAAATTGCCCAAGGGCATGAGAGCTTTGAAGAACAAATGGGTGTTCAAAATTAAAGTAGAAGAACATAACTTGAAGCCCAGGTACAAAGCTAAATTGGTTGTTAAGGGATTTGGTCAAAGGAAGAGTATTGACTTTGACGAAATATTTTCTCCTGTCGTGAAAATGTCCTCCATTCGTACGGTTCTAGGTTTGGCTGCTAGTCTTAATTTAGAGATTGAGCATATGGATGTGAAGACGACTTTCCTTCACGGTGACCTAGAATAAGAGATTTATATAGAACAACCTGAGGGCTTCTACTCTCAAAGTAGAATAGAAGGTAAAAAAATTATTTTGTGCAAACTCAGAAAGAGTCTCTATGGCCTAAAGCAAGCTCCTAGACGAAGACTTCATCAGATCATTATGTATTTGTATAAAAAAATTCTGACGATGATTTTATTATCCTCTTGCTGTATGTGGATGGTATGTTGATTGTGGGCAAGAATATTTCCAAGATTGATGAATTAAAGAAAGAGTTGTGCAAGTCTTTTGCTATGAAAGACTTGGGTCATGCAAAGCAAATTTTGGGCATGAGAATTACTGGTCTCGTAGAAGAAGTACATTGAACGTGTACTAGAGCGCTTCAGTATGAAGAATGCTAAGCATGGTACACCTCTTGCTGGTCATATGAAATTGAGCAAGAAGATGTGTCCTACAGCTAGGGAGGAAAAAGAGAGCATGGCCAAAGTTCCATATTCCTCCGACGTCGAAAGTCTAATGTATCCAATGGTATGCACTAGACCTGATATTGCTCATGCAGTTGGTGTTGTCCGCAGATTTCTCAACAATCTGGGAAAAGAGCATATCATGGTAGTCAAAGTTGCAGAAGTGTGTTGCACTATACAAATGCTGATATGACAGGTGACCTTGATAACACAAAATCCACAACTGGATATTTGTTTATTTTTTCAAGGGGAGCTATATCATGGCAGTCAAAGTTGCAGAAGTGTGTTGCACTATCTACAACTGAAGTTGAGTATATTGCGGCTACTGAAGCTGGTAAAGAGATGATATGGCTAAAGCGATTTCTTCAAGAACTTGGATTGCAACAGATAAGAGTATGTTGTCTATTATGATAGTCAGAGTGCAATAGACTTGAGCAAGAACTCCATGTACCATGCAAGGACAAAACACATCAACGTCAGATATCATTGGATTCGTGAGGAAGTAGAGAGTGAATCATATCACGTCAAAAAAATCCACAAGTGAAAATCCTGCAAATATGCTAACCAAGACAATACCGAAAGACAAGTTAGAGTTATGCAAAGAACTTGTCAGTATGAGCTCTCTCTAAAGAAAATGAAGATGGTCTTCTTCCGGTGAATGGGTCTAGAGGGGGGAGATTTGTACGGTCCATACCCATTATAGATAAACATAAGGAAAGTTGAAATGCAGCAAAGGTTGAAATGTTTGTTGCTTATATTGTTAAAGTCAACAACTGTTGCAACAAACATTTCAACCTTTCCTGCATTTCATCTTTCCTTATGTTTATCTATAATGGGTATGGACCCTACAAATCTCCCCCTCCAAACCCATTCAACAGAAGAAAACATCTTCATTTTCTTTAGAGAGAGCTCATACAGACAAGTTCTTTGCATAACTCTAACTTGTCTTTCGATATTGTCTTGGCCGGCATATCTGCAGGATTTTCACATGTGTGGATCTTTTTGACGTGAAATGATTCACTCTCCACTTCCTCACGAATCCAATGATATCTAACGTCGATGTGTTTTGTCCTTGCTCATTTCAAATACACCAAGTTAGAGAGAGAAAAAAATATTTGAGAGCAAAGTGAGATATTCCATAGACTATATAAGAAAAATAATCTGTGAAGAGAAAGAGTGTGAACGATATTTTAGTAAGGTGGAAATCAAAAGAGTGTCATTCCTTTTGAGTGTGTAGTAGTCACTTTGAGTATTGTATTCGTTACTACACAATGTAAAATTCCTTACTATAGTGACTACCCTTATTTAAAAGGGTTTCCACGTAAAATTCTTCGTGTCATTATTTTCCCATTTTATTTCTATTATTTTGACCATATATATTTTTGTGTTAGTCCGCGTTTTTCCAACAGTATTACATAAATAACAAATAAAGCCTTTTAGGGTGCGGGAGATTTCAAGTTCCAAACCCAAAGAGCCGTTGCAGAGATGATCCAAATTCTGAAAGGACCGTTGGGAGAGGAGAGACTGGAGAGAACTCAAAATGTATACCCGTCCAAAGGTTATACCTTAACAATAGCAAACAAATGAACAAATAGAGAACAGGACGAGCTTTACCAAGGTTGGAACAAAGTGATGACTTCTTGTAAGCTAGTGGTCAGGCATATTCAAATAGAGAACAGGACGAGCTTTACCAAGGTTGAACAAAAGTAAAAAAATAAAAAATCATGCCACCCAACATGTTTCATGAAACAGTAGAAGGAAACATTAAGGCCATAATCTCCAAGAATTCATATAACTATAGCCTTTTAGCAGAAACATATCATAGTTACACGTCGACTAAAATCTTAGACTGTGACAAACATTTAAAAGGAAAGAACTTGATTTAAGACAAACCATACATATTCTATGACCTATTTAATCATAGTTCAAGCCTTAGTTAATCAATCGCTGGATAGGATAAAACGAACTATTTACAGCAAGGAATCATTTAAACGAGAAGCACAAACGAAAAGACTGATGACAATAACTTAAACCAGCACACATTCAGGACTCTTTATGAAATTTCTATCTCCAAAAGATTTCAAAACAAGTAGTAAAAATAGTTAAATGTAAACGAAATAGTGAGAACACAAAACATTCTTTCAAGGGATTTGTTAAAACAGTAGCAAATGGGAATTCATAGCAAAGAAGAAAAAAAAAAATCTATACCCTAAAGGATAGGTAGCCAGACAAAGTTCAAAACTACTATACTAGCATATTAGAATACTACAAGATAGATGACTAAGACTTTCTTATTTTTTAGACAGTGAATCAGATGACTCTCGCAAAAGAGAAAATAGTGTCTTTAAAAATCTTGGCATCAAAATTATATAAGGAAAGAGATAAACAAGCACGTCTCAATTTCTCAACATCTTATGAATATGTACAGGGAATTGTCTCATATGCTAAAAACATGCTGGATAGCACATGTAAGTATTTTACCACAAGACACAATCCAAGAGGAAACAAAACTTATCATACAGATAAAAACATGCAGAGATAGGCCAGTGTATGGAAATAAATATGCTAATACATCACAAGACTAGGCAATCATGCATTGCAACTTCTTCCTTATAGGCAAATTTGAATCAAAGAGAGGAGACGTAAAAAAAGAAAGGGGCGGATAGGGTGAAGACCTAAGTTGCTCGGACTCGGGTGCGGGTATCCGAGACGGATGCAAATCCGAGAGTCGGATTCGGCAAAATTTAAATTTTAAGATTCGGGGGTGCGAATCCGAGTATGGATACGGGTGCGGGGATTCGTTAAAATTATTCAATATTATAAATAATAATAATAATAATAATAAATATCTTGTAAAATGCTATACTTATACTTAAAAGGATATCAATTATAGATATACAAATTTAAAAGTATAAATTAATTACTTGTTACTAATTAATTTTAAAAAAATTATAATTCCTTTTATTTATTATAAAAAAGAAATAATCATTTATATATATATATAGCCTATTAAATTAGATAGTAGTACA